TATATTCGAATCAAAACTGATATTTGAATTTGTATTTGAATAATGCGTATTCGAATCATTATATTCGAATACAAATCACGAATCGAATTAAAAATATTTGATTTGTTTACATCCCTAGTCTAAACCCATCAAAATATACGGAATACGAACTGAATTTGTCACTCCATCCTTCCTAAAATATCTTATACTTTATCAAAATTAAATGATAGGCAATAATACATTAATACCTTGTATTGTGCCTTAAATGTTAGAACCACTACTCTTTATATTTTTATTTCTTACCGCTTTGAAGTTAGTTTTTATTAATTAACTTTGTATTTCATTATTTTTTATAAATTTAGTTGTGTTTCTAATTTCTGTTATTCTTTTTATATCTTTTAAATCATTTTAGTGTTCCTATGTCCCTTGTTATTTGTGCCTTAATATTTATACCTTTAAAGGTAACATAAATGAAATAAAACAACTATTAGCTCCACTTAGAGCACTGGTAATACATTTGAAGCCCCGGGGGTTCAAACTTTTTCTCTCTGCCACGTCAGCTTTAACTTACACCCAAAATTCACTGGAAATGGTTTTGAAGTCCCGAGGCTTCAAATTGGGGCTTCAAACCTTCATTTTTACATTTTTAAATATACATCTTCTAAATTTAAATTTATAAATTTAAATTAAATTATTATTTTAATTAATCGCAATTACACTAGTGCATAAAAAAATTAGATTCATTATAAAAAAATCTTACATTCATAAAAAAACATTCAAAAAAAAATTACTTTCATTAAAAAAATTACATAAAAAAACAACAGTACAAAGAAATCACTAATTATTCGAACGACTAAAGATATGCTCGATCAAATCCGCCGTTAGTGCATTGTGAATCTCTCGGCTTCGAATTTCTTGGCGGTTGCGTCGTTTCTTTTCTTCGGTGATTTCTTGTACATAAGCACCTCCTCGTACGGGTTGTGTTGACAAATCGCAGACCCGTTATCCTCTATGATCATATTGTGAAGAATAATACATGCGTACATGATATTCCTCATTTTTGTCTGAGAATAACATCTCGACGGACGATCTAGAATGTGCCACTTAGCCTTCAAGACCCCAAAGGCTCATTCAATATCGTTTCTCGCCGCCTCTTGAGCTTTTTTGTAGGTTTGACGTTTAAGACCCATTGATTCGGAGAGGGATTTGACAATCGTGGAATAATCCGGATATATTCCATCGGCCAAATAATATCCACGCTTGTAAAGCGTCCCTCTAAGCTCAAAAGAGGAGTTTGGTGCGGTCTCATTAACCCAATCGTCAAAAATAGGCGATTGATCGAGAACGTTGATGTCGTTGTTCGTGCCCGCGACACCGAAAAAAGCATGCTAAATCCACAAGTCATTCAAAGCAACAATTTCGAGCATGATGGTAGGCATGTGATGATCTTCCCGAGAGAATTGACCGTGCCACGCAGTGGGACAATTTTTCCATTCCCAATGTGTGCAATCAATACTCCCAAGCATGCCGACAAAGCCGTGTTTAGCGGCATGCCTCGCCTGCAACTGCTGGATGTCGCTCGTTGTAGGCTTGCGTAAATATCTTTTATGATAAATTTGAATAATAGCTTTTGAAAATTTATAAACGCAGGACCTGATGCTCCGAGCCGACATCTTCAAGTATTCGTCGAACATATCGGATGTCGTCCCGTACGCCAACTAACGGAGCGCGGCAGTGCACTTTTGGACGCTACTAAACCCGCGTCGGCCTCTCGCATCAAACCGTTGGTTGAACCAAGGAACCTCGCGTTCAACATC